TTCGGCCTTGGAAATGAATCCAAAGGGCCGGGGATAGGACCGAGTGCAATCTTAGTGTGACGTTACGAATATGAGGAGATGTTTCTCAATAATAGAACAGTCAGGATTAATAATTACATGATATAATTAAAATCATAATTTTTGATTACATTAAATGCATAAAGGTATATATAATAATTGTGCATAAATTTTGATTATATTAAATGCATAAATGTATATATAATAATATAATTGTGCATAAATTTTGATTAGGGTAAGTTCGGGTGAGATGGGACAACGGGTGAGATGGGACACTTCAATTTTCAGCTGCTTTAACGTGCGCATTCCCGCTAATAACTGCATAGGATATTAAAGTTTTATACATTAATGAAAATTCATCCACTCCCGTCGTCAATTTTCTATTGTGTTCAAAATTATTAAGAGTTATTTTTTGGTCGGGTGAGATGGGACAGGCATAAATTTTTGTAATTATTTTTTGGAAAGTCCTTCAAGCCAAGTGGTTAATATATTTAGTTTCCATACGAAAGGATCGAAGCATTTGGACCTCGGAGAAGGTATGTATATGACTATTGCGCTCAGTTCATGCTCAGGTTACGCACAAGTTGATGTCCCATCTCACCCGCCATATTCGGGTGAGATGGGACATTTTTTGGCGGGGGAGTTGGGACAGTGCCAAGTTCATTGGAAACGATTTTTTCGACTATTTATAATGATTATATCATCAAGTTGTACATTTTAACCCTATTTGAAAGTGAATAAGACACATTCGATATACTATATTGAGATATAAAGCCCGTACGGACTTTAGAAATACAAACAAAAAAGCGATCCGGATCGTCAAGCGAAGCGAAGCTTTTAACGTCATTAACTAATAGGCAACAAGTGGAGACAAAGCCGAGAAAAAAAAACTAGCAGACAAAAAGAAGTTGCAATTAGCAAAAAAGAAATTAAAACATTGTGTCTCGGACAATGAGGATATAGAGTCCGATGTCTGCATGCAAATACAACGCAAAGCTGAACCAAAAAAATCAGCAAAAGCTTCAGAAATTGCAGAGATCGCTAAGGTTATCAAGAAAGAAGCATTAAAGAGCCACTCTAGTAATGAACAAGCAACGCACGTTCAGGAAAAAAGAGGTCGAAAAAGAAAAACTGAAGTAGCGCCCACGAAATCGGCTAAAGTGTCGAAAATCGTACAGATTTGTGAGTTTTGATTGTTTTTTTTTACGTTATTTCACATGTTTTGCGTTAAAGTAATACAAAATTGAATAAAATTGTTTATTTTTCTCGTTTTGGTTATTACTAATAAATTAGTTCAACAAAACACTACTTTTGTTTCATTTTTTGATGGTGTCCCATCTCACCCGCCGTGTCCCATCTCACCCGACAATTTTTCATTTTTTTTCAAATGTACTTTGACGGATGAAAAACAGCGAAAAATATTTCATAAATCGTGTAATCCTATGGTTTAGATATGAAATAAACATAATATACACTATATATTTATGATAGTTTAGCGTGTGCGGTATGAGAAATGATTTTCCAAAAAGTGTCCCATCTCAC